GCAGCCACGGCGCGGGGCCGGAGGCATGGGCGCTGGGCGCCTTCCCTGCCGGAGCCGAGCGCTGTCGCCACCGCCGACGCCGCCGCTGTTGGAGCCGCTGCCGTTGCTGGAAGAGCCGCCCGGACCTCAGCATGTTTCTGAGCGCGCGGGCCCCGCAGCTCCGGCACCCAACACCCACCCCACCCGGCTCCCCCCACTCCCCAGGCCAACCCCCGGCTCGCGTCAGGCTCCGGCAGCCAATGGCTGCAAAGGCACGCCCCCGACTCCCCTCTGCCGGCCCGCACCCCCGCCCACCCTCAGTTGAGCGGCGCTGGAGAGTCCCCGAGAAGATCTCTCCAGCGATTCCCCGGCACCGCTGGTTGCCGCGAGCTTGCTCCTTCCCGCGCCAGCTAGTTCCAGCGCCCTCTTCTCTGCGCCCACTGCCGCGCCCCCCCTCCCAACCCGGCGGTCCCTGATCCAGCCTGCATTCCGCATTTTCTTGTGCCCCTTTGCCTCCTTTCCGCGCCCGCTGACTCCCTTCTGTGTCCTTGCACTCCCCGCACCCCTCTACGTCCAGTGCCGCGTCCCTGCAGCACGGAGCGTGTGCTCCCTTTAGCGCAGAGGGACTTCAGTGTTCCTGTTCCTGAAGCGCCAGAGCGCCTTGGACAGTCCGTTTGCTGGGGTTGGACGAATTTGACTGTGAGACTGGATCTCAGATCAGACAACCTAGCAGGGTGTGTGTGAAACGCTTCCCTAGCCTGAGTCCCGACAGCTTGGGGAATCGGAAGTGTGGTTAAGATGAAACTTTCCAGCGAAGCAGGTTGCTAGAGCAAACGGCACATCTGTCAGGGACACTTGGGGTGCTGTTCTTGCAAGAGGCTGTATTGTACCTCAAGCGCGGTAGACCAGGAAGGGAAGGCTCGCGCCTGTAACAGCTAGAGCGCAGGACCAGTTGGAAACACACACACACACCCCAGCCCCAGCTAATGTGTGTATGTTCCAAGTACGAAAGGAGAGGCACACGTTAGTGTCCCGAGTAAATAACAGAACACCTTTGTTGACATTTTAGACTTTTCTCACTCGGCGCGAACTCCCGTATTTTGTGTTTTATTATTCATATGATTTTGTCATGTGAGCTGGGTTAATAGAGACAAAAGTACTATCATTTTTGGTTGACGTAATGCAACTTAGGTTTCAAATTTTTTGGAACTGGGTGGCTGTTTCTCCTTTGCTCAAGTTCCCAGATTCTCAAACTTCTGGGATCAGCTTTGAAGGATTGAGAGCAGAAAAAGAGAAATACACGAGAGGATTAAATCTGAAAACATTTAAAGTTATGTCCGGGTGTTTGTTTTATTTTAAGTTGGCAAATGAATTGGTTTGCAATGAGCGCGCGGTTAATGGTTAGCCTGGCTGTAGGTGGCCACAGGGTGGTGATGAGATGACAGCCATGAGGCCCGCAAGCCCCTTCTCTGTCCTCTGGTCCTGGTAATATGCCTGAAACTCATGCCTGAAAATAATCTGGGATTAAGTCCCTGAGAAGTAAATAGCTTTCTGTCAGTACAGTATAAAGGTGCAAGATGGTGTTATATAATGCTCACACATCTTTTTTTTTTTTTTTTGCATTGGAATAAAAAGAATAGCATCTGGAAGGAGCACCAACAAGTGGACCAAACTCATAGTCTCACTTTGCAGAGACTGACTTCCATAGCTGGCCTGTCCAGGAGCCAAGAGTAATGCTAAGTTTATAAAGTCAAGCAGTTTTAACCACCTTGTCTCACATCAACCCAAACATATGAATTTGCTTTAGGCCTAAACGTGACCGTTAGAGTGTTACAACTGGGAAGTGATTTATTTGTTTATTCACCCTTGCCCTGGACTTACCAGCCAAGTTCTGCCAACTTGGGGAGGGTGAAGAGGGGGAGCCGGGAAACAGGAGCTAGAGAGGGAAGAAGACTGTACCCTCAGTCACCCCAGTCTTTGCCCGACTTAGTCTTCTCTTTCTCCTATCTCCCCTCAGGCTTCTTTGGGGGGTCTGGGTAGGGTCAAGGAGCAGCCACAAAGTAGCTGAGGCCTTACGAAGAACTGAAATGGAAGCCGCCCAGAAAAGGGTTCTGAGTGCCGCAGAGGGTAGGGAAGGTGGGGACAAGGCTCTCTATCGGGCGCCATCTTTCTGTCAAGTGGTGCTACTGGAATGGAGTGTGCCAGCCTTAAGTGCCCCCGTAGGCGCTGCATTTCTGTGAGTGAAAAGGCCGGCAGGGCTTGATTGTAGAGGTTCAGGGAAGAAACGGGATGCCAATAATTTTAACATATCATTATGAGCACAGCAGGCAGTGGGGCCGGTGATGCCGGCATTGTTGGGAAAATTCTCCTGCTCATTCAGAGATACAAGTCTCTCTGACTTTCTGTGGAATAAGTACACTACTTATAAACGTTCAAAATGAGAAGGGTTTTCTAACAGGAGCACCAACCTAAGTCCACAGGCAGAAAGGGATCCCAGAAATTTAGGGGGTTTTCCTTCAGTTGTCCTGACACCCCCACGCCCAAACAAACAAACAATGACAGAATAAGAAACTTGGACTCTTCAATGAGTTAAGTCTCTGATGAAATAAAATGTTCTCAGTTCTTTCTCCTTCAAGTCCTACACTTCATGGGGCCTTATTATTTGTTTTTTCCATTTTTCAGCCAATACTTTTTATGCTTAGATAAGGATACAAGATCAAGATGAAGAAATAAAGGTTCAGCATATCAACTGCCTGGGTCTGTTTTCTGATGCCCTAACAGAATGCTTTAGGTAATACAGAAAGAAGTTTATTTTGGCTCACGGTTCTGAAGGTCAAGATGTTCAAGATCAGGCTGCCACATCTGGTGAGGGCCTCATGATGTGTCATAACATGGCAGATGGCATCACAAAGGCAGAGCGTCTGCAGAAAAGAGAGAGCTTGAGGGGTAACCTTGTCATGTACCAATCCATTCTCAAGACGACTATCCTGCTCTGTGGTAACAATATTAATCCTTTCTTGAGCACAGAACCACCACTACTCCAACTGTCTCTTACAGGCCCCCCTGGCTCTCAAATAACTATTGCATTGGCAATTAAATCTCAACATGAGTTTTGGTAGGGACAAGCCATGTGCAAACATAGCATTACCTTACAAAGGTTTTTATAAATTGAAAGTGAAGATGTGTAACTTTTTCCTTTCTTCATTCCCCTTGCAACTCTATAAGTAAATCCATTCTTAGGAAATGATAGGTTTGACAGTACTTTAGAAAATAACAGAAAGCTCCAACAGTAGGTGTTCACCAGCACACGTGGGAGGTGGTGTGCTCATTCCTCAGATTTCCTGTTCCATCCCTTCCTTTCCTACCCCTTACCCTTACCCTACACCTGGTCTTCACCTTGGTTCTATTTAATCTTCCTGCTCCTCATTCTTTCTGCTGCATTTAATCAGACATACTGAAACCAAATCAATACGTCTAAAATGCTACTGCGACCGTGGTCCTTACTGGTTCAGAACCTTGACTCCTCAATTTGAC